CGTCAGCCACGAACACAAACGGCAATTTTTTATAGGTAGCAGTAGCACTTTGTCGTCTGGGAAATTAAATGCATTTTTTTTGATACCTTCACAAAGCGATGATTCATTAAACGCAGCGGCGTAGTTTGCTCGCCCATTGGTTCCAACGTTAACGCAAAGAAATTGGTAATTTGCGTCTACCACAGCCAGCAATTTGATGCTGTGGAAACCTTTGTAGTTATAACAGTACGAGCCATATTTCTGCCTGATGGCAATAGCAATATGTTTGCCATCTGAATAGTTAAAAAAGTATAGATATTATACACCAAAATCGGTTTCAAAACAACGTGCATTTATTTTATACTTACCAATGGCACCCAAACACTGAGGAAAATTCCATTTCATATTTCCTTTGCTATATTTCGCCAATCAGTTGGGGTGTTTGGTACCTGTAACCAATTTTTTATTAAAAGTGGAAATACATGTAATTCATTTACCTTCAAGAAACATTTTCTAAAACTGAATAGATAGCTCGTAGTGTCTTAGGGATAATCAGTGAAATCGCGGCCTGAGATATTCGAAATCCATACGCTAATTGGTGGAATCTTTCGCCAGTCGCTAAACACCGGAGAGTGTCAAGCAACCTAAACAGAACATTTACTTAAACAATATGTTCTGTAACAAGCGTACATATATGTATGTATATGGCCCACCTGGCAGTTGGAGAAATAGCTTCCCGTATATTTGTGTCCTGCTTTGCAATTAGGGGAGCAACCTGCTGCAGAACGTTTCCTTTGTCATTCGCCCGAAATTTCGGAACGCTTTGGGATCCTCCGGCAGAATTTCGTTTATGGCCATGCAAGGAAATCCTTGGGAAGCATCTCTACACAATAGCCAATTTTCTCTCCACAGAGAACTCGCTTCCCTGCTTATTCCTTTATACGTTTTTTGATTATTAAAGCGATTGCAATCATCATGGAGCTGCACAGAGCAATTTTTTTTATTATTTTCATTCATTTTTACTTTTACTTTTCAACCAAAGAATTTATATCAGTCAGCTGTGTTAGAGAAGTGACACACACAAGCTGTTACATGTCGTGTAGACACAATAACAGATAGCACGAAATTTAAATTTTGACAGCCATAATGGATTATATATGCTACGAAAAAGTAGCTGTGCACGTGTAAAATACATACCGTGTGATAAGCCTTTTAAGGTTGAAACACATAGCTTAAAAACTAGTTGCATTACTTAAGGCCTAGACACATCACTTAAGAACTATTACGATATTACACACTCTATTACGATATTACTTAAGGCTGTTTACAGAAACCAGCTCCTGCAACCCCGAGTGCCTTACAGTAATGAATCATATTATGGAATAAATATTTCACGTTCTAATTGCTGTGCATAAATTTTTCAAAAGGTCACTTATATCATAAAAATAAAAGGTGTGTCTGAGGACGTAGCCAGCGTTATTAAACATTTATTTTTGGACGAGGCATTGCTGCAGTTTAACTGGGACGGAATATGAGAGATATCCAATAAACAAACTTAGACTGGTTGACACAATCCTACGAGGTAATATGTTCACATATTAGGGACACTACCAGTTCTGACCATTTTTTT